AGGCATTGTAGTATTTTTGTTCTAAACTTCATAATTCAGGACATTGAATGCAATGTAAAATTATAACATTGTTGATAACAGTAACAGTTTGTACTGTATTCTGAACTCTGGATATACTTACTCATTTAATCCTGTGATAGTCTTATTTTGCTATTTTACTGAGAAGACTAAGGCACAAAGAGATTGTGTCTTGCTTAAAATCACATTAAGTGATTAAATTGTTAGACTAGGATTTAAACACAAGGTCCACTTAACTTTTCCCCTATCCCACTTCTGAGCATTATGATATATTAAGTATTCTTGCTGTGTAGAATGTCAAGAGAAAACAGGATGCTTTCATATGAAAATTGTAAAGTGGAAGGAAGAATACACAGTACCCTAGATTGGTGGTTAACTCATGGCCCTGCAAAGAAGTTGGCATTGTCCTCAGTCTCTGTCCTTAGTGCCTAGTGAGTCCTCAGTAATACTCTTTGAGTAAATATTGGTTAATCAGGGTCAGAATGGAATGAGAATTGGTGATTTTTTTTTAAAGAACAAGAATATTCAAGCTCCTTTAAACTTTGTAATCGAAATTTTAGTTCTGAGAATTATCTCACAATTATGGCTTGTTTCTTAGAAAGATACTTTGTAGGCTATCAAAATAATTGGATATGTAACTCCAATTCTCACTGGGTAGTAGTTTCTAAAATACAAAGGGGACATCTTAATAATTCTTATAAGGAAATATTTTTAAGTTTAGAAAAATGTTAGAATTACATCTTTCTTTTTTCTTTTTTGGTACGGGGGCTCGAACTCGGGACCTTGTGCTTTCGAGGAAGGTGCCAGAACCACTGAGCTAAATCCCCGCCCAGAATTACATCTTTCTATCATGTCTTCACCATGAAAAAAAATCTTTGCAGATTTTTAAAAAATAATAAGCCTTTATGTGAAAGTTATCTAATGCAGACATGTGCTTAAGAAATCCTTTTTACTGTGTCAAGAAATAACCATAATAAAAAGTTTGGGGCATACTTTCATACTTGTAAATACATTATGTGTAAATCTATATTTTAAATATAGATACTGTCATATTTAACATGCACATTTTTCTATACCAGTGCATATAGCTTCAGTGCATAGTAGCATTATCAGTATAATGATGCATTGAGAATAATAATAAATATTCAAATCTCTACCCCAGTGTTTTTCAAACAGTAATTTTTACCTCCCAGGAAGCATTTTTAATATCTAGGAACATTTTTGTCAGTATTTCCATTTTTGAGAAACTAGAGATTCCTAAGGCACAATAACATTATTGTTGTTTAAGTTCTGCCTTTTTGTATGGTTGCTTCACATATATTGTGTATATCTACATACTGAATTTATTTAATCAACTTTCTGATGACATACATTTAGATTGTTTCTATTTTTCCCTATTATAAAATGAGGGACAGTGGACATTTTGTACATATCTTATTATTTTCCCAGTTATTTCTTTGGAATAAATTATTGGAAATAAAACTATTGAGGCAAAAATAGGGACCTTTAATAATACATTTGTATGTGTAGCTTTTATGAAATTGAACTTCTAGAAACTTGCACCATTTTATTTAGTGAAGTGTCCTTTTTGCCACACTTCCTGAGTGTTTGTATTTTTTAAAACATCTCTGTAAATCTGATAGGTAAAACTTTTATTTCTTTTTTTAATGAATTTGAATATCTTATTGTAATATGATAGCAGTACCATTTAAAAGCAGCTGATGACTTTTGATTTTCATGATTCATGGGATTCTGGTAGTGTTTCAGATATTAAAAATGACAATTTAAGTCCTGAAGTCCGAAGAATAATTGAGTATATATGCATAGAACCCCTCTTCCCAAATATGTCTTCATCCACATATCACTTTTTTGAAACTGTATGAGAGAATTATCTTAACAGTTTCTAGTCAGCAAGAGTTGGTAAATAAGTACCCTGTGTAACTCACTTAAAATTAGGTGTAAAATAGTATTCATTTCCCTCATTTAATACATGGCTATCTCTTTCTCAGTCTTTTTGTTTTCCATTATCACATCCCAGGTACTCTTTGAGACATTTTCCTAATTGTCAGCCCTGTGATATTTTGATATGATAATATCTAAGGTATTGTTGGCCCTTCAGAGAACCAGGTTTTGCCCCCATTGGGATAATACTGCCCCCATTAAGAGTGTATTCTTCATGTGTGCATGTGTGAGGATCTTTATTTTGATATATGAGAGGTGTGGGAAAAAGCTTTGCTGTAAATAAATAGGTTTCATGGGACTCAGAGGAGTTGGTATTTCTATTATTTTATCAGTTTTCCAGAAGGGAGCATTAGGTTTAATAATTGCTACTATTATTTCACCAGTCTGTTTTCAAACTAAACATATCCTTTGGAGTACCTAGTTACCTAGAATATTCTATGCACAATATTTTCATTCTTTAGAAAGTTGATGTCCCAGCTAGGCATGGTGGCACACACTGTAGTCCCAGCACTCAGGAGACAGAGGCAGGAGGATTGCCATGAGTTCGAGGCCAGCCTGGGCTACATAGTGAGTTCAAGGCCAGCTTGAACTACATAGTGAGACCCTGTCTCAAAAAAGAAGAAGGTTGGTGTGCCAAAAACACAGTGACTTTATAGTTGAAAGCATTTGTTGAATTTAGGAAACAGTAGCATTAAAGCTGATATAAAATGTTCAGACCTCTATTCTATTGTTTTCTAAACAGTGATTTTACCTCCCAGGGGACTTTTGCAATGTCTGGGAGCATTTTTAGTTGTCAGAACTGGGAGGGGGTTATTAGTGCCATCTAGTGAGTGGAGGCCCAGGATGCTGCTAAATATCCTGCAATGCATAAGGCAGACCCCTTGCCCCTGTAAGAGTCATCTGGCCTAAGATGTCTATACTCCTGAAGTTCAGAAACCTTGAGCTATCCTAATGATTGTACTCCTTAGAATCTGTCTTTAAAAAATAATGTTTCTGGGATTTGGGTGTATGTATATTTTTTAAAGTAGGACATACGTTATGATATATAATTTTGGAAAATGGGAAATAATTCTTTAAGTCTCAGGAAGAGATTTGATTGCCCATGTCAAAACTAACTTGAATTTCAGAAACATTAAAGAGTTGGAAACTACTTTAGATAAAACTAACTTACTCATTTTAACAGATCTTTATACAATACTCTTTCACTTCCCATTCCCTACCTTGGATGAGGGTACAGTACAAAAGGTCATAAGTCATCAACTATATGAGCAACTTTTTAATTCCTAGAAGAAAAAATGTGTCTCAAAAATATGGTAATATGTAAATGGATTAAATTTGAAGAGAATAGTGAATATTCTGTATCCTCTTTTTTTCTTTGTTTTTGAAATATTGCAAGATGACATTTAAAAAGTAAAAATACTTTTCAAATTTGTTCATGTTTGAGCTGAGGCTAAGTATAGAAATATTTTTATAATGGTCATAATGTATATATAATAAAATAATAAAATGACTTTATTATAATCACAACTAGTTACAGCAAAGAAAATGATTTCTGAGAGCTTTTGCTCATTTTGTGTTTGGAATGTTAAGTGCCTTCTGAAGGTATTCAGAGCCTACTAAATGTTAAGAAAGTTGAATGGTTCTTGAAATTACTCAAGCAATGACTAGGATGATTATGATTTACAATTCTGCAAGGTGAGCAAGTTGGGCTCCTCCCCCCCGTAAGTTAACGTGGAAAAAGAAATAAATAAAAGAGAGATATGGCATCTCTTGGCTTTTTATAGTGAGATTATGCTGTATGCCTGTTTCACGGATAAAGAACATTGCAAGATGTTTTGTTTTGGAAGAATTATTTATTGAAAACTAATAACTGCTTTGCATTCAGAAATTTTTTTAAGTTCTTTTCCTTTGAGACTTCAGATATAGATTAGTAAAGGGTGCTTTTTAACTTTGTTTTTCTAAAGGTTTCTTCTATAAGTGGCACTGTAAACATAAGCATAATTAATCATATTTCTCCCTAGCTTTTGTCAAAAACTGTCTCATTACTGAAGAAAACTGTCATATTCTGATTATGTAATAACCTAATGAAAGAAATTTTACTTGGGTTTATGGTCATTATTTTCTAATACTGACTGAATTATATAAATGTTTGTTGGAAGATAACACTACCAGATTATAGTAGAAGAAAGTTATTTTAAAGTTAGGGGACATACTGCTAAGGGGTAGATTTCCAGAAGTTACTGATCATTGCTTGGAGAAGTTGCTGCCAACCATAACAGGCTGTTAAAAGTTTCTTCTAAGACAGGAAAACATTGTGTAAAACCATCATGTTGTGAAGACTTTTAAGTATCTATAGTGGCTTTGATGTTTTGAAAGTTAAAATTTTTTTTAAAAAGAATAATGTCCAATGTCACTAAATTTAGATTTTAAGTAAGACGTGATCATTTTTCTAAAATCAAACATTTAGTGAATTATTACTGTCGATTCCACATCAAACCAAAGTTTAGACCTGAAAGCAAAGGAACTTAGCTCAGAGTGCATTTTGCTTAGCAACCAGCTTGTTGTCTACTGTTTTGCTACTGAATGCACGTACTCATGCCTCAAAAGTGTATTTGCAGCCAGCTGGACTCAACTGGACAATACTTCATTCACCTAATTTCCAGACTAGTCAGGCAAAGACATCAGCTCATTGTATTTAGTCATGAGGAAATTTATTTGTAAATTTCAAGTAGTAGCACATTGATCTCAAAAGCCCCTGAACTATGAGAAACTCTCTTCTAATTCAGAAATGTAAAGTCCTTGGAATTCAGAAATGCTTCACTTTTTTTTCCTCTTAATGCTTGCAAGTACTCTATTGTTTCAAAAACATACCTTCTAAAATCCTCGAAAAAAGTAAATAGCTCTTAATAAAAAAGATATTTGAAATTCTAACTTTAGAATTATCTGAATGAAAATTCAAAAGCTTGATTTGTATTCAGACTTATCTACGTTGATTTTCACATAGTTATTTTTGCTTTTAGAAAACAACAGTTTTGTTGGCACGTGAAGCTGCAGTTTCCTCAAAGTCAAGCTGAGTACACAGAAAAGAGGTAGAGTATCCCCACTGTCTGTCTAGAACTGATTATTTTTATTTTTTTGCAGTCCTGAGATGAGACTGGGAACTCAGGCAAGCTAGGCAAATGTTGTACCACTAAGTTACATCCTCCATTCCCCAAAGCACCAATCTTTTTTTTTTAGTACCAGGAATCAAACTCAGGGCCTTATGCTTGCCAGGCAGGCTCTGTGCCGCTGAACTACATCCCCAGTCCTGATTATTTTTATTTTAAGGCTGTTACTAAAATAAACTTAACTAAGTGTATGTCTGTAGTAGAATGAATAAGTTGTGATTATAGTCACATAAGGAGAATTAAACAATGCTGAAAATAAGTGAACTATGGCTATGCATATCAATGACCCACAGAAATAATAAGAAAAGAAATTAAAGATGAAAGCATACCATATGACTTTTCAAAATATGAAACGAAAGAAAGAAAAATAAACATCCCAAAACCTAAATAGTGTACTTTTCTTTTTTCTTTTTCTTTTTTTTTTTTTTTGTTGCTGAGGATCAAACTCATGACCTTGTGCTTGCGAGGCAGGCACCAGAACCACTGAGCTAAATCCCTGGCCCTGTACTTTTCAAAAGTACCTACAAAAGTGGGAGAACTCTAAGGGATATGATTAACAGAAAAATCATGACAATAATTATTTGAGCAGGGGAGCACATTTTTAGGAGAGGGATACAAGAAAAATTAGCTGAAAACTTTTTTAGGCTGAGTAGTTGTATAGCAAATGAAAAATTACCCAAAAGTCTATTCAGAAGTTACTACTGTTAACATTGTAGTATATTCCTTGGAAAATACATTATTTTATATATATGCTCATCATTGAAATTAATTTTTATGAAGTTTGTTGTCCTTTTTTACATTAGGAACATTTTCAAGTGTCATTTAAAAAGTTTAATGACTGTGCTGTTTGATTCCTTGAGTTGGGAAAATTTAAAGTTGCTATTTAATGTATTTAGCATAAAGTATGTCCACCTTATACATACTGTCCTCTTTTTGTAATTGCTCCATGAATTTTAGTGAAGAACTCTGTTAACCAAAGTTGATACCAGACTAGAAACAAAGGAATTATTTTCCAGACAGGACTATATAGGCAATAGTATAAATTAATATATGTAAATGATTGAGGAAAGTCATTTTAAAACTGTCTTAATTTTATTTATATATCTTTATATATATAACAGATTACATGCATAGAAGAAAACTGAAAAACTTTAAATGCATTGTTTCCAGGGAAATAGTATCAACTCTTTAACCTGGTTTATGATTTAGAATGAATAAACTTGGACACACACTAAAATTAGCATCATTTGAAACCTTTCTTCAGATGTTTAAGACCTTAAGTGCACCAAAAAAGTCTTTTTGAGCTTTTTTCCTATGTAATTTTTGCTTGAAAGGATCTTATATTTTTCCAAGAGTAAAGTAAAAGATCTATGTTCAGTTATTTAAATCAAAAAAATCACATTTAATAATTCTAAGTTAATACCTTTAGTAGCAAAGTATAAATAATAATGTTTTCTTTTTCTTTGTTGGAAAGAGTACCAGATGATAAAACTATTAATGAAATTCTAAAACCTTACATTGATCCTGAAAAGTCTGATCCTGTAATTCGCCAAAGGTATGTTTCAAAAATCTTGTAACTGACTGAAGTAGTAATTTAAAATGTTGAAGCTTTTTTAGGTGCATATTATGGAAAGAAATGTTAATTCATTTAATCCTCCGAATAACCCAGTATGGTAGACTGGTCTTATTATACCCATGTTACAGATGTGGAAACTAACCTTTAAAATGAATGAATAACCACATATAACTAATAAAAAGGGAAGCTGACCCAAGCAGTCCAGAGTCAAAGTCATACCTCTTAACCCTTAAACTAAACTGCCTTTCAAGTTGAACTAGAAACTGGAAAGTAAGACTTTCCAAGTAGCTGTTAAAGACAGGAAATCCTATTTCAGCCAAGTCTTCATAGAACTAAATAGGGTACATTCTACCTGCTGTCCAGAAATACAGCATGGACAAAAGAGGTTAACATAGCATAGTGGAAAGTTTCAGTAATGCCTATACAAATTAAAATAGCTAGCTCTGTCCCTTGTTAACTATTTGATCAAGGGTAAATTACTTAACTTCCTGGCCTTTTATAGTTCCATCAGTGAAATGAGAATGACAATACCTACTAGATAGAGTTGCTTTTAAAGTTTAAGAAAAATAGCACATTAAAAATTCCTAGTATAAGCCTAGCAGATGGTAGGTAGTACTCAAAAAAGAGAAGTGTGAGTGGAGTATAAGTTATTAGTGCTCTTGGACAGAAACCCAATTGACTCTACTGTATTTTCACAAAATAGTACTTAACTAGGGCTATGAATTCTTGATTTGGTTTCAGAGTAATCTGATGTTTAAAATTTAGAATTCTAAAATGTCTGAATTCTAAAATGTCTTATCCTTTCCAGTTCTAGTTAAATCTCATTTTTCAATTTTTTATGAACGTACTGACTAGACTGGTACAAACCCATGTCAAAAATTAAAGTGTGTCTTTGGGACAGCTATGATAATTGAGTTTCTGTCCTTGCAACTGATAATCTTCGTGTTATCATTAATCATATACTTCGCAGTAAGACAAAATCCTGGTCACTAATTTGGAGTGCATTTTTAAAATAAATACGTAAAATAGCTGATTAACCTGCTGAAATAAGTATTTTTAAATTAAAGACGATCAGAAGAAAGGTAATTCTTTTTCAGGTCCTTCATTAGAAAATATCTTTACCTTCTTTCCTATGCTTTTGTAGATACATTTAAGTATTAATTGACTGTTTATAAATGCTTACACTTTATAAGACTCTTGAAATGTACTAAAAATCAATTTTGCATCCTTCAATATGATGCTTTTATTTCAGGTTGAAAGCCTACATTCGCTCTCAGACCAAGGTCCAGATTTTAATGAAGGTTGAAAATATGCAGCAAAATTTAGTAAGGTAAAATTGGTTCCTTCCTCTTTTCTTTAAATATTTTAATTCTATAATATAATTAAGTAGCTTGCTTAATTTCAAAAGATAGATATGCCTATACAAATTAAATAGATATCTAGCTGTCAACAAAACCTAGACTTACAAAAACAACTCTCAAATGAAAATTTTATAATAATCACACTTATAAATTTGATTGAAAAATTGGCCTAGTTAGAATATTTTAAAATATTAGATAAAACTAAAAGATTTCTGAATCCCGTGTTACTTATTTCATATACTTATTTCAAAAATTAGTCTGTGTGACTGAGTTCCAGGGTTCAGGTCAGATTCATAGCTTTGGAAACATGAAAACTGACCATTTTGGTTATCATTTTGTGGGTTGTCCTGTCATGCATTTTCCACCACCCCCTACTCCCACCCTCATTGTTCCTTTGTATATTTATCTGTTCTTAATTGCAAGTAGTAGTTATGGGTACTATTTTAATGGCTACATGAATGGAATTGTTTATTTTATTTTTTAAACTAATAGGCACATATTTTAAACACCAGGTTGCTTTTTTTAGGATTAAATATCTGATATCTGTCTTGGTCCATTTTAGTGTCAGGTTGACTGCAGTCACCTTATGGATGTGTTCCATTATCCAGATAATTAAACTTCTTTTCCAAAGCTGAGGAACCAATTTATATCCTTGTGGTACAATTCCTGAGAACAAAAAAAAATTGTTTTTTCTTTTGGTCTTGTTGTTTGGTTAGGTTTTGTTTGGTTCATTGGTTAGTTCTTTCTTCTGGTTTATTTCTTGTTTCCATTTTATTTCCTTTCTTAACTGAAATAGAACATATACTATATTTCCCTTTCAGTCAAGGCAGTTGGGTTGTGGTTTATAAAGAAATGTGCAGCTCCTTATACCTGTCAAACTTGACTCATTAGCAGAATATCTTCTTCTTGCAAAACTCAAGGAAATCAAAATGTGATAAAAAGTTAATATAGGATACCGAGTTTGTAGTACAGGACAGACTGCTTGGGCCCAGATAATATTTATTTTTAACTTAGAAATATGTTGTGAACATTAAGTTAATGCATGTCAGCTACTTATAGCACCTGGCACATAGCAAGTCACTCTCAATAAATTTGTATTACTCAAGTATTTTGAGTTGTAATTAGAAAAACATTTAGGTTAACATTTTACTGAAATGACTTATGAGTATAAAAGATTGTTTTGTTTTGTTTTGTTTTTAAATCCTTCAGATTACTTCCTTAGTAAAAGGAGATCTGCTTAAAATTAAAAGTTCCACATGGCTGGCATTTGAGTGGTTTACACATCACATTTTGGTTTTTTTTTAATAACAGCTTCTTTCAGCCAAATAACTTCTTATACTCCTAGAAAGTACTCTAAATTCATTATTACCTCTACTCACAACAGGCCACTCTCCACTAAGTTTGAGGGAACAAATATCCAATTGTGTTGATTTACATTTCTTTTGACATAAATTGAATATTGGAAGAAAATGAAATTTCAGGAGCTTAAGATGTCATCAAATGTTATTTCTGGACAAATGACTCCCAAATCTGTAGATTTTCAGCCTTTCTCCCGAGTACCAAATCCTTGTTTCTAGCTATCTTCATGTACACATTTCATTAAATCTTAGAGTCAATATGTCTAGATCTCCTTATGCCAAATATATTTCTTCCTCATATGTTTGTATATGTGTGTACGTGTATGTTTTGTATTAAATGGATTGACTGTGTTCTTGACATCTAGTAAACAATCAACAAAAGATGGTACTCATTCCCTGTTATTGGGACTTTCGTTCTTCTAGCACACCAGCCTAAGACCTTGGAGCCAACTATCTTTCACTTCTTCATTTCTCCCTTGCCACCCTCCCTTATATAATTGACCTCCAGAATGAGTCTTCCATATGTCTTCTTTTCACCGTTCTTTTTCATTCGTACGTGTTTGCCATACATAATGATCACATTCGTTATGGGGAATTTGCACTTGTACATGATGTACCTTTACTCTTTTTTTTCCCATCTCCCTCCCCTCCCTTCAACTCTCCTTTCCCTCTGCGTTTGCAAAAACTTTGTTTCAATTTTTTTCCTTCTATTCTCTTTTTAAATCTCTTTTTCCTTCTCTTCTTCCCCCTTTCTTGTTCCCCTTCCCACTTGAACAAGTTCTTTCTATTCCCCAATATCTATCCTTCAATTTTGCTCCTTATTTATCCTTTGGGTTTCACACACAAGGAAGTCATTGTGCTATTGGAACTTGTGTGTCTGATTTATTTCACTTAAAATTATAGTCTCAAGATGTGTTTGCCTAAAAATCCATTGACCTAAAAATGTCTCATTTATCTCTAAGGTACAGTAGTATTCTGTTGTATATAACTTTTACATTTTCTTTATCCATTCATCTGTTGATGGACATATGGGCTGTTTCCAAGATTTAGCTATTGTGAATTGTGCTGCTATAAACATGAGTATGTATACATCACTGTGATACGATATCTTTAACTTTTTTGAGAAGATACCTAGAAGGGGAATAGCTGGGTCAAATGGGATTTCTATTTTTAGTTTTTGAGGAATCTCCATACTGGTTTTCATAGTGCTTGTACTAGTTTACACTCCCACCAGCAGTAAAGAGAGTTTCCCCCACACACACACAAACACACACACCTTGTAGCCTCTCCAGCATTTGTTATTGTTTGATTTCTTGACAATAGCCATTACTTCTGGTATAAGAATCTCAGTGTTGTTTTAATTTGTATTTTGTGAATGGCCAATGATGTTGAACATTCTTTCATGTATTTATTAGCCATTTGTACTTCACCTGAGAAGTTAATTTATTTCAGATGCCCATTTTTTTATTGGATCTTTAAATTTGGGGGATCTAATCTTTTTGATTTTTTTATATATTCTACATATTAGTCCTGAGGAGTAGCGGGCAAAAATTTTTTCTCATTGTGTAGATTTTCTCATCACTCTGTTGATGGTTTCCTATGTTGTTCAGAAGCCTTTTAATTTGATGTGATCTCATTTGTTGATTTCTGATATTATTTGCTGTGCACCATGGTTCTTTTCAGAAAGTCTTTACCTACACCCCTGTCTTCAAGAGTTTTACCTATTCATTCTTCTAGCACATTGTTTCTGTTTTAATATTTAGATTTTTGATCCATTTCCATTTTAGTTTAGTGCATGGTGAGAGATACGGGTCTATGTTTAATCTTCAGCATGTGGAAAGCCAGTATTCCTGGCACTATTTATTAAAGAAGCTATGCTTCATCCAGTGAAGATGTTTTGCCTCTATGAGACAAAGATGCCCACTATCACCACTCCTGTTCAATAAAGTTCTAGAAGCATTAGCCTGGGGAATTGGACAAGAGAAAGAAATAAAAAATATGAATAAGAAAAGAAGAAGTTGAATTATCATTAGTTGCTGATGACATGATACTGAACATAGAAGACCCCCAACACTCCAGCAAAAGCATCTTAGAATTAATATCCAAATTCAATAGTGTAGCAGGATACAAAGTCAGCACTCAAAAATGAACAGCATTCCTGTCCACAAATAACAAACTTACTTAGAGAGAAATTAGGGAAACAATATCTTTCACAATAGCATCAAGAAAAATGAAATACTTAGGAATCAATCTAACAAAGTAAAGCCCTCTGTAAAAGACCTCTTGAAAGCTACAGTACTCTGAAAAAAAAATCAAAGAGGATATGAGGATATCAGAAAATGGAAAGATATCCTGTCCCTGGATAGGCAGAACCAATAGCATAGTGAAATGGTATACTTCCAGGACTGATACAGATTTAATGCAGTTCCAATGAAAATACCAATAGCATTCCTTACAGAACTAGAGAAAACAGTCCTAAAATTCATATGGAACCAGAAGAGACCTAGAATAGCAAAACCAATTCTTGGCAACAAAGAAAGGCAAGGCATCACAGTCCCTGATTTAAAGTTATATACTACAAAGTGCTAAAGTGATAAAAACAGTACAGTACTGGTGAAAAACAGACTCAAAGATCAATGGAACAGAAGATGCAAAAACAACTCCAAGAACACTTTTCTCCATTCATGTTTGCTTTTTGAGACAAGGTCTTGCTATATATATAGTCCAGCCTAGCCTTGAACTCACTATGTAGCCCAGGCTAGTCTCGAACTTGTGGCAATCCTCCTGCCTCAGCCTCCCTAGTGCTGAGGCATGCACCACCACACTCAGGTTTTTCTCCATTCTTAAAGCTAGACTATTGTTTGCTATTGTATGTGGAGCCCATTCTTCTGCCCCAAATTGGATGCAATTTCCTTATCTTTCAACCTCAGAATATTTTGTACTTCTCATAGCTTCCTATAATCCTGTCTTGTATTTTACCACAATAAAGCTTATCCCATATGATGATAAACTTTGAGGACAGTGACTGCCTTAGACACCTTCATCTATGTATTTCCTAAACTGTTGTCAGTGACTTTCCCATAGATTTAACTCTTAATTTTTTAATGAGCAGTCTACTAATTCACTTAAATATATTTGTGCCTGTTATATGCTAGATTTTGATGCCACTTTAATACCTTAGAGCAGGGCTTAGACAACTTTTTCTGTAAATGGCCAGATAGTGAATATTTTTGGCTTTCTGAGTCATATGATTATAATTAGCCAATTTTGCCCTTGTAGTACATATCAGCTATAGATTATGTAAATGAATAGACATAACTATATTCCAATAAAATTTAATGCAGAGAGAGCAGATACTGGTCAGGATTTGTCCTGCTGGCCATAGTCTGTAGATCATTGCCCTAAACTGTTTGAGAGGTGTTTGTGACTATATCAGTTAGCCAGTTGGGAACTTCAGGTTATAGTGTGCAAAATGAGAGATTTTAACAGGGGCCTGGTATAACTTAGAGGTTGCTTCAGAAAAAGTAATGTTCTCTCAGAGGGCAAACTTTTTGATATGTGAACTTGATCTAAAGTATCCATGGATTAAGATTGATCAAGTCTACATTTTT